GCATCCATACATGCATGCATCCATACATGCATCCATACATGCATCCATGCATCCATGCACACATGCACACATGCATACATGCATACATGCATACATGCATATATATATATATAGATGACTGCTTGTGCAAAAATCAAAATGTTTGAATTTAAATCAAGAAATGCCAATGAGCAAAAGCATGCAGCCGGTCATCACTTGTTGGTCGTATAATACAACGTTGTATACTGCTACATGGCTCCATACCCTTGCATGCATACTGTATTACAATGTATTAAAATTGGTAGTCATGGTAGACCTATGGCTATGTACTGAAGAACGTTGACAAATAATGGGTATATACATTGAAAGACTATACATTGACTATGGTTTGCGTGTACCTGTATTTATAGCACGCTGAATGCCACAATAACTAAAAAATTCATGTATGGCAGTGGGCACAGCCGGATGTTTTTCATTCAAGTATTGAAGATCCTCACTACAAAATGCCTTCCCATGTTGCGGAGAATTGGTGCAAACGTTTGGGTAGTTAATGAGCAGAAGCCCGCGGATATAGTTCTGTTAATGAAAGAAAATACATCTGATTCTGAGGTTTTGTAGACGAGTTAAGACGATTTATTAGAGTCGTCTTTTTTACCTTCCTTTTCATCATGCAATGTGCAAACATAAGCTTCCACTGTCCATCCACAACCCAAAGTCTTCCGCAGCCTATAGTATGGATATAATACATATGCATGCAGATTTGATTGTGGTAGTTTGGGCTTTAGCTCTAAAAAATCGAATGTATATTTTTTGGACGAAATATGGTATTGAATTAAGGTTGGAAAAGTACGTAGTTACTAAAACATGGAACGACCCACAACGATCCACAATGACCCACTATGACCCCACAACGACACACTACGACCCCACAATGATCCACAATGACCCCACAACGACCTACAACGACCCCCACCACGACCCAACAATGACCCACAACGACCCAACAATGACCCACAACGACCCAACAATGACCCACAACAATCTAGAATGACCCACAACCCACTACAGCCCCACAACGACCCCACAACGACCCCACAACGACCCCACAACGACCCACTATGACCCAACAATGACCCACAACGACCCCACAACAACCCACTACGACCCCACAACGATCCCAAAATTAACTTCAGTTGCAATTTTGCATGACATTAAACAATATAAGTTATTGTTTGTGGATACACCACGTATTTTATTATTGCAAAGCTTTCGATCCTAATCCCGATCTTCACGCGAACCGGTGGGATTTAAAACGCGGAGAATAAATGACCTAGCAACGGTTAAATGTGAGAGCATCGACACACACAGATAGAGGAAAACCTTTGTTCATAACGTTCAGGACATGCACCACTGTACTGATAAATATATTTACTTTCAGTATAATATGAAAACAATATGAACAAAAAAGCAAAAATATAATGCAAAAATTAAATGAAGCTTGCGCAGACGGCAGAACAACACAAAGACAGACGATGTTTGTAATGACTACAGAATTTCTCACGCATAGTGCAAAAGAAATTAAAGATCTGTTTTTAACGACTAAAATATTTGGCTGAAAAATATTGATAACTATTTGGAGTTGTACACACCATACACACCTTTTTTGTCCGACATGTTTAATAATCAACACATGATCAAAATTGGCGGGAAATGCAAGACTTCCATTTGCGCATGCAGAGATTGTTGTTGGATTGTTGTGAACTTGTGGATTGTTGTGGCTGGTTTTTTGGTCGTTGTGGCTCGTTGTGGGGTCATTGTGGATCGCTGTGGATCGTTGTGGGTCACTGTGGATCGCTGTGGGTCGTTGTGGATCGTTGTGGGTCGTCGTGGGTTTGTAGTGGGTCGTTGTGGATCGTTCCATGTTTTAGTAACTACGTGGAACAGTAAGGTACATGGTGTTAGGCGGTATCATTATATGTGACTATATATATTGACCACAATATAACTAACATACAATTTCTTTCTTATCTTACCTCTTGCCTTACAAGCATCTGAACAATCCTCCGGCAAATGTCTATATACAGACTTCGCTCTATACTTGTCTATCTCTTCGATTACTTTCTCACAATCGTCATCTTTTTTCATTAGTCCAAAAAAATCCAAACTCCCCAGCCTCTCTCAGCTCTTCGTCAAGTTCGCCATTCCAAAATGCAGCAGCAGATTGCTTTTCTCCATAGCCTAGAAAGTTAGTTATGGGACAGAAATTTATCATAATTTTAGAATGAACTCCTCGTATATAAAGTAATGTATAGATTATGGAAATTAAAAGGTAAGAGTTTTAGAAGAAAAAATAGACAAAACTTTAATTTTCAAATTAATGAAAGGGTTATAGTGATACTCTAGGGGTTTTTATAACAAACGTACTTGCAGGGAGGTGAGTCCGGGATTGGACACACCGAGCGTGGCTGGAAGTTTCCTGAACTTACCGGGCGAAGCGAGGTGAGTTCGGGAAACTTCCAGCCACCCGAGGTGCGTCCAATCCCGGACTCACCGAACCTGCAAGTACGTTTGGTTTTTATCCCATACACCGAGTCAAACACACATTTGTAGCTCTTCGCGATATATTCGTCGATGTTTGTGAACATTTTCCCGGCCAAAAAATCACTGGGCAAGAAAATACTTCTTTATCTACGTCTACATTACCTTTACTGCATTTTTTCTTTGGTTTTTCTTCAGTCTCAGTATGTCAGTCACCGAAAAAAGTTCTTTAAAGTTTAGGTTTATCAGCTAAATCTTGTCTGCCATGTTTGTTATTGTTATTGCAACGTAAGCAGTTTAGCGGGTGTGTTCGGGCGAAAAGCAGGTGAGTTCGGCAAAAAGCAGGTGAGCTCGACGACAAGCTCACTTGCTCTAAACCAATCGGAAAGCCGCTTTTAACACAGGTATGGGATAAAAATAAAAACCTTATGGTTTAAAGAAGGCCCCTAGCCCATGCACTTCTTGTAAATATACTTTATTTTCAGATTTGTTAATGTAGCAGATTGGCAGATTAAATTAAATCAAAATATAAATAAAACTAGATTTTGCATACCATCGTTGTTTGAACCAAGGTGATCAAATACTTCGTTGTAAGCCGTTGAAAACCCAGAGAAGCTCACCCAACTATGATTTCTATATTAATTTAAATAAAATACAAAAGTATTTATTGTCAGCCAAAGTAATAAATGCTACTACAATATCGAGATTTTAAACAGAAAAAGTGTATATCTAAATTATCTCAAGCCATGATATATATTGTACTATTTTATTATAACTCAATACAAATGTATTCATCACTGGGGAATTTAAAATTAATGTTATCAAAATTTGAAAAAGGTTTAGTTTCAGTGGCATGAACCGAATTGCACTCAAGTTGTAGTTGTCCTATAAGTGTCATTTTTCCCCAGATAAAACAAGAGGATTTAGTTATAGCCGAAAAATTGTCCTTTTTGTATACATAGTCCCCCTCCCCCAAATACACAAGTTTTCTCAACGTTTGTGTCCTGTTCTATTAATTAAATCATTACTAATCAATTTCCCGTTCCTGCATGGTCTTTGAGCAGATCTGATGCATTTCTCAATCCATGGAAATAAAGAAAAAATATCTTTACATCAAATTGTATGCCAATTCGTAAATCATTGACAATGAAAATTGTTGTAAAAAGGATAACTTACACTAAAGAAATTTGCCACTTTAAAAGGGACCTCTCCACAAAGCAAACATCTGTTGCTTCCACTGCTGGTCTTGCCTCAGGGTACAATTTCCAGCCTGAATCTGGATTTCCATATTTCGAATATCCATAAAATGTTTTACATCTACTGCACTTTAACGCCACTTTCATTCCTTTACTCGATCCATAATGGTGATGGTAATTGACTCTTACTAGGTCATTCTGGCAAACTAAATATGAATTACAATCAATACATCGACCCACTGGAGCTGCGAAAAAAGGTGGACTTGATCACTATCTGAAGTGGCAAGGTTCGAGAGTTTCGAGGAGAGTTTCAATTTTCTTATACATTTGAACAGTGTTTCGGCATTATCTACAGTCAATTCTGGGTGTAATAACTTTAGAACATTTGCACGAACATTTACAGGTAATAAACACAACGAAGAAACAATATGAGCGACAGCACAAACAATGTTTAAACCGTATTTTACAAGCACAGTGCAAATAAGAACGTCCACCGAAATACTGTCGACCGAATTTAAATCGATAAAGCTAATATTGGTCAATAATTTTGCATTAATTGCCTCTTAATTAATTTCTTCTTCCCGCAAGCTTCCGAGTGAAAAGTTTGCAGAACGTTTTGAACGTTTCGACATGATGTCTGACAATGGCATTGCTGATATTCTGGCAAGTGTATGCATTGTATAAGTGCCGAAGTGACATGTATCAAATATAGCTTTAGACTTCCGTGCAGCAGCCGTCTTCTAAATGTTTAGTCTACTCAAAACAAAACAAAAATATCATTAGTGTCAAAGTGTCATTATAAATGCCTTTAAGAGATAAAGAGATCACTCATGACATCGTTTCCAGGTGCCGCTTATAAGTTTGCTGACATGAATGTCAATGACGATGTTTGTGATTAGTAAAATCTTTGAGCGTTTTATCTGATACATTTTATTTATATTTAATTCACCCTGCGAGCAGACCACGATTAGATGCTATTTAAGGCCGATTTAGGTTGTTGCATGCTAAGCACACAGGTGAGTTGTGTGCTTGGTTTACACAGAACTCAAGTTGTAAGCAGGTTGCATGCGACAGTTTTAGACATAAGTTGTGTAGTGTAAATCGGCCTTTAAGATTTTATTGTTTTCATTTACTGTGAAGTTATTATATACTAACACAACATTTCATCCCTAAATAAGCCACCCCCCTCCATAAGCGGTAAGCCCATAAAAATGCTATACGCTCTCTAATATTGTAAACTAATTATAAGCAATGTTAAATTTCTAGTAATGCAATTTATTGGGTTTTTCAGGTATTCCTAGCAAGCTCGTGTAATCTGGATGGCGTTTTCATTATATCACCAACCATTGTTTGCAAGACACCACCAGATGTTTGCAATGAACCAGTAGACGTTGTTTGTATTGAACCACCAGATGCTGTTTGTAATGAACCACCAGATGTTGTTTGCAAGGAATCACCAGACGTTGTTGGCATGACACCACCAGACAAATCGATTATAAGTTTTTTTAAATAAAATTTCTAGATCTAGTAATATATACCTTCAGTTCCGACCTTCAGATCTCAGCCTTTTCCCTATACCCAGATATTGCATGCATTTATGCCATCCACGTCAGTTTTTCCCACAGACGTAGAAATCTATCTGATAAGCAATCTGCCATCATATTACTACATGTATGTGTTTCTTTATACCATACCTTTTTACACAGGCAATACTTGTATCCTGGAGCTGTGCTCTCTTCTAAAATTAATATCGATTAGTTGAGTATATTTATAAGACAGTCAAGCATATACAGTATAGGCTATACATTTCCGTTATATACACTGTCCGCTTAATAATAGCGTACCCAGCTTCGTAGGAAAATCCCATTATGTATCCTCAACGTCCTGTGCATATCTCCATTCCAATGATCTTTTATAACTCTGTGTCTATGACTTATTATGTACTTTTAATTCCATGATTTAAGTTCATTCCAAGAAAATGAGTGTTTTATGACAGACCAATTTATGTAATCGAAACTTTATTATATTTTAATTTCATGTTTAGAAAGTTCAAACAGTGAATAACTTTAATGAAATACCTGATAGTTTTATCTTTTTAATGCCTTGAAGACTCTGAAGGTCTTCTTTGTGGCGTCTTTTGTTTTCACCATTGACTGTGGCAAAGATATCATTGTTGTCTATTTCACTAGGTTCAACTGTTAAAAGGAATGGGAATTATTTACTATGTTAATTATGTATGTACTAGTTAAAACATAGCAGCTGATCTTTATATAGCATATTATTAATGAGCTTTTTAAGTACTGTTTAATAAACGAGCAGGAGTGTTTTATTAGGTTTAAAGACACAGTTTAGACCTAATAAAACACGACCTGCGAGTTTATTAAACGGCTTCAAACACGAGTACAAATTCAATAGATTTACTGCGTTATTAGTATTCTTTATATAAAAAATACTAACGAGGACACAACTACAATAGATACTGCCTTATTAGTATTCTTTATATAAAGAATACTAATTAGGAGTGCTTTATCAGGTTTAAAGCCACTGCACCAACCTCGTTCCCAGGGTATTTGCTCTTGGGAAGCAAAGACCCTGGTGGACGCTGGTCACGTGATCTGCTAAAATCTAGCAGATTTTTAATTAGCGTTGTTTTGTCAATCTGGGAGGGGTGGGAATGTAGTAGTTGACCTTCGCCAGATGCATTAGTGTTGCATACTTCACTTTACATGTTTAATAAACATGATTTATACTGTTCTAAATTTGTACTCATCATGACAAGATTTCCTGCTATACTGAATGTGATCACTACTTGAAGTGCTGCGGTACATTTCAAGCGAGAAGTGGATCATATTTCACTTGCAAGGAAAACACTCCACACGCGCCTGGCTTGCAAAGTTGGGCACGCATCAGATCGCCGTAGAAACATACATATCTGATATCTTCTACACCGACTGATCGTTCAAACAGTATTTATAAACGAACGATATGATATGGTTGTTTATAGTTGAAATGTATCTTGTCCGATATTCAAAACAAAGGATTTATTTTATAACTGGATCTTTTGATTTCCCAACTGAAGTACTGAATATCGCCAACTGTGTATATAAAACAATAGTGCTGTTTAGTCTGTTTTGACTGTGGATTAAGCACAGGATTAAAACCTGTTATGTAAAATTCCTTTTATTTACATTGCTGAAACAGCTTAACGATCAAGAATGATATATGTCGAAGTACAGCTACAGTATACTGTTATCACATGCCAAGACTCCTCGGTGTGTGCGGTACAACTTGAATATCTAGGACGATATATGCACTAGACTAAATTATTTCATATTTCATATATTGCAGTAAACATTATAAATCTTATAAAGACCTTTCATTGGCATTGATATTAATGCCCATTATTTGAAGAATAATCCAGCTTAAAATCCAGCTTCTTTCGACTTGTATAATGCCGCCATGAGTCATCAATATTTAAATCAACTTCAAGTCTTTAATCTTTATCGTATACCCCTATACTGTGTCGTAACTGTAATTAAAATTTTAGAAGTTTCACCACACGATACTGGAGGAAAACAACCTATCTATCATTATCAGTATCAACAGAAACTTTAAAAGGCTTAATAAAACTCATTAAGTAATTATATGAGCGAAACTTGGTGGGCATATACAGTTTATGAATTATGTATATATAATATTTATACACTACTGGTACAAAGTGTCCCTACGTTTTATCAGGGATATATTACAAATACTTTGCTAAACCTTTTCGGATATCATTCCTTTGCATTCAAGGTGGGAGGGTGAATGGCGATTTATACGAGATTCTGTGCAATATTTTAGCTCAACAAACAGGTACTCGTAAAGACAAAAAGGTGCACTGTCGAGTGTCGATTCCAAACAATTTTGTCAGTCGCTTTTGAGACCTCTATCTCACAAAATTTATATTGTTTCCTTTCCATATGACAACAATTCAATGGCATATTATAAGAATATTGTAAATATCTGAACCAGAGCCAGGACAGAAACGTACGTGTGAAATGAAAATATTGCCCCCGAACCCCGAGAGAATATTAAAAACGCTAATATTTCAAACCCTACGGTCATACGTTTTCGTTGCTTGATTTCCTGACTTGTCTGTTACTATAAGAATCTGCATTTTACCATGTTTGTATAATTTAAAACGGCAAACAGAAACCAATTTTATAGCAAGAATTTTGAAGTATATATGATTCTCAAAGATTATTGTACAGAACGGCCACTCCTTGCAATCGAAGTGTGAAGTGCGGAAGTGGAAACATGTAATAAATATGAGACCTTTTCATCCCCCTCTGAGGCTATCAATTTTCTATGGTCACGTGACCAGCGTCCACCAGGGTCTTTGCTTCCCAAGAGCAAAGACCCTGGGAACAAGGTTGCCACTGCACGTGACATATTATGGTTGACATGATTTGCCAATAAACTTATGAATTATTAATGAGTGTTTGAAGTACTATTTAAAACATGAGCAGCAGAGTGTTTTATCAGATATAAAGATATGAGGTGAAGCCGAGCATCTTTAGGTCTGATAAAACATGCAGCGAATGTTTTAAATTGCTTCAAAAACGATCAATGTAGTAAGTTCATTGGCGAAGTAATTTTCAAAAAATACGTTGTGTAAGTAGAGAAACCAAAATTAAAGTTTATGTACCAAATGAAGGGAAATCTTTGTCACATATAAAGGTACAGACACGCTTATGATTTTTCTTTGTGTTTTCTTCATGAATTATTAATGTTTTTTTTAAGATTAATAATTATGCAGGTATTAATATTAATTTTAAACCATTAGTAAATTAATGAAATAATTAAAAGGTTTTGGTTGAAAATTGATAGCAACTCTTGCTAGCTCGAATACTTCAGCATTGCCTTTAAGATTTCAAAATAACGGGATTGTACTGTACTAACCTGCTAAAAAGATACAACTGTCATCTAATCCGCATGGCGTTTCCATGATATCACCAACCATTGTTTGCATGACACCACCAAACGTAGTTTCTAAGGAACCACTAGACGTTTGTAAGGATCCACCAGACGTTTCCGAGGATCTACAAGACGTAGTTTGTAAGGAACCACCAGACGTTTGCAAGGAGCCACCAGACGTTTCCAAGGATCCACCAGACGTTTCCAAGGATCCACCAGACGTAGTTTCTAATGAACCACCAGACGTTTGCAATGAGCCACCAGACGTAGTTTCTAAGGAACCACCAGACGTTTGCAAGGGGGCACCAGACGTTTCCAAAGATCTACCAGACGTAGTTTCTAAGGAACCACCAGACGTTTGCAAGGAGCCACCAGACGTAGTTTCTAAGGAACCACCAGACGTTTGCAAGGAGGCACCAGACGTTTCCAAAGATCTACCAGACGTAGTTTCTAAGGAACCACCAGACGTTTGCAAGGAGCCACCAGACGTTTCCAAGGATCCACCAGACGTAGTTTCTAAGGAACCACCAGATGCTTGCAAGGAGCCACCAGACGTTTCCGAGGATCTACCAGACGTAGTTTCTAAGCAACCACCAGACGTTTGAAAGGAGCCACCAGATGTTTCCAAGGATCCACCAGACGTAGTTTCTAAGGAACCACCAGACGTTTGCAAGGAGCCACCAGACCTTTCCAAGGATCCACCAGACGTAGTTTCTAAGGAACCACCAGACGTTTGCAAGGAGCCACCAGACCTTTCCAAGGATCTACCAGACGTACTTTCTAAGAAACCACCAGACATTTGCAAGGAGCCACCAGACGTTTCCAAGGATCCACCAGACGTAGTTTGTAATGAACCGCCAGACGTTTGCAATAAACCACCAGACGTAGTTTGGATTACAACACCAGACGTTACTTGAACACCATCATTCAACACAACTGTAGGTTCAGATTCATCGCTATCATGTTCTTTTGATTTTATATCAAATGCTGCAATTGTAAAAATACTTAGTTACAGTATTAGAGAGCATAAGCAAAATACTGTTTTGTGCACGTTTTTTATATCTGTGATATAATTGTGGAAATAGTGCATTTGGTTAATACTATACCAATATACTGCACGAGACATTTCATTGCGGAAAGCGTTCACGCACGTGCAGCGATATATGACTTTGAAGATACGTTGAATCCATATGCTGGACCCTCGGTTGAATTTTTATCCCATTTTTAATTGATGCATTTTAATGCAGCCACGCCGTTTAGAAAATGAAACATATGACGATCTTAATATGGAGCAAATTTTAAAAATACATTCACCTGCAGACACAGGTTTTTTCATTCATGATAGAAATAATTTGCAATCCATTAAAGTTGAGAATTTGCCTTGCTTGGAATTGTAATCGTAAATGTAATAACATAACATCAAGTTCGAAGATATATATGCATTAGAGAGTTTATGCTTCGCGTTATACGGCAAACGCCAGGCAAAGAAAGATTTTACTGTACCAGGCAATAAAAGTAAATGAATTTGCTGTTTTAAAACTGCAATGCATGACTATTCTTTCGACACAAGAAAAAAAAATGAAACTAAAAATTTTGCGAAGAAAGTTCGAACCTGCCGTTCCCGGAAACGCGAAGCTTAAACCCCTAATCTGTAGACGTTACAGCTAGTTATGTACATGTGTGGCCGAGATCCTGGTATTTGTTGACACTGTACAGAACTATTACATTCATAAAAAAAGAATACACCATACTCGGATCCAATCCTTCTACATCTGCTAGTTCGATAACCTGAAAAATAAAAAAGGATTTTTTACTACATTATGCCGGAGATCAACTAGATTTTCCATCTGTGTCTTTCCATCTGTGTCGTCTAGGATTCAAGATGAACGTTGTTGTATCCCCCCCTCTCCAATCCGGACTTTTCAAAGATTAATTCTGCTTCACAAATTCTGTTAAATAAAGAGTTTAATATTAACCTACCGCATATACGTGTCGCAGTAATATTATTTTTATTTATGTCGATCGCATCCAACTTTCAATTCGAATAGCAGACCAGCCTATGGTCTATGTTAAAGAATATGCGGCTGTAGTTTCATCATGCCGTCTTCAGAGAGACATCGAATAAATTAGTTTGAGGTGGTTTTCGTAGGTGGAGTAATGATTATTTCTTTACCACGTGCCTCAATGATGCGATTGGGCTAATTGGATTGAAATTGACAAATTGTGAGTGTTTAACCCTTCTGCGTGCAGCTTGCGGTGCCAAGAACGGCAGAATTATGCAATAATTTATATGTACAGGGATCGTGCAGGACAAATGGATCATGTTTTAGGAATAAAAATTACAAGGAATACAAAGAACTTCACAAATACTATTGCATAATAGTCTGCCGTTTTCGTCACCGATTTGCATGGAGAGGAGGCTAAATGCCCTGGCCAATGAGTAGATAATAACCTTACCTTTTCAGCCAAGCTAATTAAAAGTGAATAATTCTTCATGCACCTGTCGTCTAAATTCATTTACGTCTTGTTCCATTGCAGCACAAATTGATTTTGTGCGCGTATCGCAAATATAGTTGATGTCTGCTGATACACCAACCATCGTTCCAAGAGCAGTTGAAGCCCGGTCTAGGAGATTTTCACAAACGTGCTCCGCCCTCTGCTGAGCTTCGATACCATTTGGGCACCTTTCTCCCTCAATGAAAGGAATCAAAACTAGTCTTCGGAACACTCTATTAAGAATGAGAACTATTATATAAAGAATTCCAAACATAACGTGGGACTTTACATTACTGCAATGTCATTGATAATATTACATGTTACCTTGGATCTCGTTTTAGACCATCCAACGCCTCCCAATTAACTGTAAAGGTTGGACATGTTCTTGGTTCTTGTTCGAAAATACACGTCCCATCCTTCCCTTTGTTGAACAACGAAACTGCAACATCAGCAATTACCCTGTGTGTTTTGACATCATCTAATACTGGTGGCAGGGTAGACCGGCTGCACAGACGAGGTATAAACCTTTCCTTAACTGATGAATAAAAAATGGATGCATTTCCAATTAAACTTAAGGATGCTCTTGCTGACATTGTTTTACCAAGTCTGTTTCTTCTGCACACCATGGGCGTTGGGCAGTACTTGAGTTTACCCGTCAACATTTCATAATGCAGTCCAATTAACATTGCAGCTATAATGATAAAAGCATGAATGTATTATAGACATGTACAGTACATGCATGCACACTGGCAAACCCAGAGGTTCAGATTTGACTTGCACTAACACAATCATTGACTATTAACCAATCAGATGCGTTTGATATATCAGATTAACCAATCAGATGCGTACTAAGCCTGTGAGAGGTAGTGGTAGTCAAATGTGAAGGCTGTGTTATGTTTTTGGTGGGGTGGGGGGACGGGGGGGGGGGGTTGTAACGAGTTACCAACAGATCGAGTCATTTTGTCATTTTATTATCATGGCTACGCGAGTTGTACGGTGAACAAAAATGCCACTCTGCAAGTGGAAACATGCCCATCTGCATCGATAATTACTTTTTTATTTCTTCAAGCACTTTCAGGACTCTTCACAACCTACAGGTGTATTCAACTACAATATTTTTGATGATTTTATCCTGAAAAGTTGTAGCTGAGTTGACTCAAGTTATTTATGGCAAAAATCAGCAAGTCAAATTCGAGACGAGTCATTTAGGGCTTTTGACTCGAGTCATTTTTCATATTCAAGTCGAGTCGCAGAAAATTGCGAAAAACAATTTTATAGTATACCATTTGTAAATTCTGAATTCTGATTGGCTAAGAGCCGTGTTGATATAGCTCAATCTCAACACGGGAATGTCGGCAAATTTCTTTCTTTATATTTCTTTGTGCTATATTTAGATAGGAATATATCCATTTCCCAATACTACAATGACTTTGTACATAAATATCTACGATGTTATTTTATGTGAACTTGTCTACAGGAATGATATACAACAAAGAGGACGTATACACTTCATGTAACACAGTACATATGGGATCGTCTCCAGTTTACTATATAATTATCTATCTCCCCCCAAGTTTTTATGAAGGTTGGGAGAGCCAGTTCGTAAAAACTAAACTTGTAATAAATATGAAATATATACATGCAATATGAGGTATGGATTGCAGTTAAGTAGGTCACAGTTCTTTGAGTCCTTTCTTGTTGAAGTCCATCAGTCTACGGAGGGCAAGGGGTTGTTTTTCACTTGTTGGGGTTGGCGGCTGGGTGCTGGGTTGTAGGGGCTCTGGTGGGGAAGGTGGTGTATGTGGTTGGATTGGGCCAGCTGTTGGGTCAGAGTTTGATGGGGTATGTGGTGGAGTTGGGAGACTTTTGTGGTGGGAAATTGGTTTGTATCGGAGGTCGTCTGTGATGGTGTGTGGTGGTGGTGGTGGGTGTACTGGGATGAATTTGCGGAGGAATTTCCTGTTACGAATGGTCATTCTTCCAGAGCCATCGACACGTACAACATACTGGTCAAACTGGCGGACTTCGGCGACTCGTCCGGTTTTATCCCATTTGGTTGGGTGGGGGCCAATCTGATTTTGAATTCTTACGTGGTCACCTACAACGAGTGGAGGGAGTCTTTTGGTATGTTCGGTCCATCGTTCAGCGGATCGCACATGTCTGTTGCGTAGTGCTTCTTCACGAGCAGCTAATGTGTCTTTCCAGGTGGGGTGGGGTTGGTATCGTCCGGGCAATATAGGAATAAAATCCTTGATTGGTCTTCCAAATATACACTGTGCGGGAGAGAGCTTTGTTTTAGGGTCAGGTGTATTTCTGTATTGAAGTATGGCACGTTGTAAATTGTCCGTGTCCAGGCTGCCATTGGGGCTTGTGTTGTTGGTAATGAGCCGTTTTACAGTTTTTACGCCAACTTCTGCCCGGCAGTTTGAGTGGGGGTACGCAACTGAGGATAAACGGTGGTGGACGCCCCAATTTTTTAAAAACTGTTGGGTTAATGCTGAGGTGAACTCGGGTCCGCCGTCAGTTGCCAGGTCGTCTGGAATACCAAAGGTGCTAAAGGTACGACGTAGGCAGTCAATGAGGCCTTTTGCTCCATCGCGAGCTCTTTCTATGATCGGCCAGTTAGAGTATCGGTCGACTATCACAAGGTAGTTCATGCCTTTGTAATGGAAGAAGTCGGCACACAGCGATTGAAAAGGATAGCTAGGTGGGGTGGTGGCTGATGGTGGAGCACTGGGCTGTGATGGTGCCATTCTATTACAGTGGTTGCATGATTCTCGTAATGCTCGGATGGCTGGGGTGATGCCGGGCCAAAAGACTGTCGACTCGGCTCTGGAGGTCATGGATGTGACACCTTGGTGGGCTGAGTGGAGTGTGGATAAGACATGATGTCGAAGTGAGGGTGGTATCACAATGCGTTCTTTGTACAGGATAACACCATCGATTGTGTGCAAGTGGTCATGGAATTGGTAGTATTCTTGTAGATCACTGGGGAGTTGGTGACGGAATGCGGGAAAGCCTGTTGCAATAATGGAAAGGAGTTTCTCCATGTTGTTGTCGCTGGCTGTGGCTTCTTTCACGCGATCCCAGGTTATTGCCATGGTGTGGATTGATGCTGCTACTGAGGGAAGAGTTTCGTCTTCAAGGTTAGGGGGTAATAACGTAGGGTGGGATGTATTAGAACGTATGCCAGCAAGGAGTGGGTGTCCGAAGGGTATGAAGGGAGGGGGTAGTGTGTTGCATGAATCGTTCATGGTGGCAACATCATCTGGGATGGGAAGGGCTTCAGGGTTACGAGGTCCGGTTGGGTGTCGTGACATTGCGTCTGCAGCCTTATGCTTGATACCGGGGATGTGGATCATTTGAAAGCGGTAGCAGAGGGTTTTCTCTTTCAGGTTGCGTAGCCGTACGTTAGAGATGTCTTCTAGGCACCGGTCACCAAGGACCTTCAGTAATGGTTTATGATCAACAGCGACGATCAATTTCTCACAGCCCAAAACGAAGAAGCAAGCTTTATCTAGTGCGTCGGCAACAGCTAGGGCCTCTCCTTCTATGGGGGCATATCTGGACTCTGCAGCATGGGTGAAGCGGCTGCCTACAAGGGTTATTTTCCAACCAGTGTGGCAACAGAATGGTTTGGTGGAGGCACAATTGCAGTGTTTTTGAAATAACCAAAAGCCGATGCCAGTCTTTGACCAGTCGGTGGCTAAGCAAGTAGGTTTAGATTTGTCATATATGCGTACACCATTCTCGATTTCACTGATGATAACCGCCTTGGATTCCTCAAAAAGTTCATTCAGTTCTTCAGTCCAAGTGAACGATGATCCAGGTTTAAGGGCTTCTCTGAAGGGGAGCATGTGTTCTGCTGAGGCAAATGCGTAGGAAACTTGATTAATAAGCCCAAACCAGGAGCGCATGTCCGTGATGTTGTAATATAGTTAATATATTCGTATTATTTAGTTAATATATTCATACGCCCAGTTTGACATTTGAGATGATTAATGACTCTGGAGCAGACAAATATATATCAAGTAGCAGTCGAACACGAACTGAGATTACCTTATATTTAATACTTAGAAACTAGTTAATAAAATACAAGATAAACTACATGGTGGCAGCGGTGGGATGAATATGAACGCCGACCAGTTTACAAAACCGGCAAAGCTCGAATTCGAAGGCAACGTCGCCGAGAACTACAGACGATTTCGCCAACAGTTTGAAATATACATGTCTGCTACAGGATTCGACGCGACAAACGTCCCGAAAAAGAAACAAGCCGCAATCCTGTTGAACATAGCTGGCGAAGAAGCTATAGAAGTATTCAATACATTTACATTCGCAGAAGATGAAGATAAAGACGACCCTGAAGATATACTGGCGAAATTTCAGAATTACTGTGAGCCAAAGAAGAACATTACTTATGAAAGACATATATTCAATACGCGAGTGCAACAACAAACTCAATCGTTCGATGCGTATTTAACAGAGCTACGTGTCCAAGCTAAGAAATGTACTTATGGTACGCTTCAAGACGAACTAATTCGCGACAGATTAGTTGTAGGAATACGAGACGACAAAGTACGAAGTAGGCTACTTCGAGAGCCAGAACTGACTCTACAAAAATGCATTGACATTGCACACGCCGCGGAAATCTCACAGAAACAAATGCAAGAAATCAAAGATGAAACGAACACAGTTCATGATGTAAGACCAACATATAGAACACTTACCGACAAAGATCGCCCGAGATATGAGTCGCGGGGAAAGTCGCAAGAACGAAGAAAATCAAAGTCAACTCGAATGCCCGATTGCAAATACTGTGGTACACAACATGCTTTCCGCAAAGAAGTATGCCCAGCGTACGGAAAAATATGTTCATCTTGTGGCAAGGGCAATCATTTTGCAAGAGTTTGCCAATCATCTAGAAGAGTTCATGCAGCTAATATTGCCAGTAATCCTGACTCAAGCGACGACGATTTTTTTATAGGAACAATTAAAACGCAACAACAAACAGAAATTGTACACGCCGTGGGCGTTGATGAATGGATTTCAGAACTGGAAATCAATGGGCAAGCAGTCAAAGTCAAATTAGACACAGGAGCAAAATGCAACGTAATACCAAAATCGATATTCAATCAGATACGATCCAACGACACATTGCAGAAATCAAACACAAAAATAGTATCATATGGAGGGCACAAGATGGATGTATGTGGTCACACAACACTCTTGTGTGAATACAAAGAAAAGATGTACGTTTTGCGATTTTATGTCATTGATAGTGATGAATGCCCCATACTTGGATTGAAAGCTTGTCAAGAATTGAATCTCATCCAACGAGTGAATGAAATGAAACTAACCACAACTGAATCCATAATGCAAGAGTATGCAGATGTGTTTGATAATAAGACACTTGGATGCCTGCCAGTACAGCATACAATCAACCTTAAAGAGGACGCTAAACCAGTAATCCATGCACCGAGGAAAATTCCTGTCGCTATACGCAGTAAAGTCAAAGAGGAACTAGATCGCATGCAACATCTAGGAGTTATTGAACCTGTCGAAGAGCCAACAGATTGGGTGTCATCTATGGTTACGATCACAAAGCCAAACAAGACACGAATTTGTTTAGACCCAAGAGATTTGAACAATTCAATCAAGCGAGAGCACTATCCGATGCCCACGATAGAAGAGATTGTATCAAGATTACCACAAGCAACTGTTTTTTCCACACTTGATGCAACCTGTGGCTACTGGCAAATACCTGTCGATGAGAAATCGTCTAAGTTACTTACATTCAACACCCCATACGGCCGTTTTCGTTTTCGTCGTTTACCCTTTGGAATATCATCAGCATCTGAAGTCTTTCAAAGGACGATGAATCAACTGTTTGGAGACATAGAGGGATGCGAGATCATTGTGGATGATATCCTGATCTGGGGTAAAGATGAAGTTGAACATGACGAACGCCTACTAAAAGTGCTAGAAAGAGCGAGAAATATAGGTCTGCGCCTTAAAGAAGAGAAATGCAAGTTCAAAGTACCAAAGCTTAAATACATTGGCCATACCCTAACTGCCGATGGACTGAAGCCAGATCCTGAAAAAATCGAAGCAGTTAAGAAGATGCCAGCACCTCAGAGCAAGAAAGAACTTCGTCGGTTCCTCGGAATGGTTAACTATTTGGCTAAATTTATTCCTGACCTAGCGCAGAATACAAGCGTCATAAGAGATCTACTTAAAGAGAGAAACGAATGGACATGGCAACCTGAACACCAGAAATGTTTTGATGACCTGAAGACAGCATGTTCAAGTCAACCAACACTAGTCTACTATGACGTCAACAAACCCGTAAAGATATCATGCGATAGCAGCCAATATGGACTTGGTGCCGTGTGTTTGCAAGATGAAAAGCCAGTGGCGTACGCCTCACGCACTCTCAACGACACCGAAAAACGATACGCACAAATAGAAAAAGAGTTGTTGGCAATAGTGTACGCCTGTGAGCGTTTTCACCAATACGTTTACGGACGAACAGTACAGATCGAAAGTGACCACAAACCACTGGAGTCAATATTCCAGAAACCGCTTTACCAAAGCCCACTTCGGTTACAGCGCATGCTTCTTAAGCTCCAAAGATACGACCTGAAAGTGACTTACAAGAAAGGAACTCAGCTCCACATCGCAGATACCCTCAGTCGGGCGTGTCTCAACAACACAGATCAAGAAACTGAATTTGAAGACCTAACGGTTCATGCAACCATCCCATTCTCCGCAGAGAAGAGTGAACAACTCAAGGCGGCAACACTCGCTGACCCAACACTAACAGCACTACGCAAAATAATCCTGGAAGGTTGGCCAAAAGAAAAAAGAGCAGTAGATCCAAGCATAAAGCATTACTGGGACTTCTCTGAAACACTTTCTATCTACGACGACATAATATTCAAAGGAGAGAAAGTTGTAATCCCTGCTTCGATGATTAACACGATTCTCAATTCGGTACACTCAGGACATCGAGGTGCAGAGGCATGTAAACGGCGCGCACGAGAAGCAGTTTATTGGCCAACCATGACGAAAGACATACAAGATCATGTGGAGAAATGCAAGCCATGCAATGAAGCAAAACCCCAACACCAAAAAGAACCACTCCTCGTACAAAGTCCACCGACACGACCATGGCAGCATATTGCTACAGACCTTTTCGAATTAGACAAGCAAATATACTTACAGCTGATGCATACTCCGGCTGGTTCGAAATAGATCACCTCCAAGACATCAAAGCCACGACAATCATTAAGAAGATCAAGATGCACATCAGCCGTTATGGAATCCCAGACAAGTTAATGAGTGATAATGGTCCACAATATGATAACCACCACTTCAAGAAATTCATTGCTGAATATGGAATTGAGCATAAAACGAGTTCCCCAAGATATCCCCAAAGCAACGGGTATGCAGAAAGAGCGGTTCAAACAGCAAAGAAAATTCTCAGCACAGCAAAGAAAAACAATGAAGATCCTTACCTTGCATTGCTTGGTCATCGCAATACACCACGTGATAACATTTTAGGCAGTCCCGCCCAACGACTGATGGCCAGACGAACGAAAACGTTACTCCCAATAAGTGATACATTGCTCAAACCATCTGTCATCGAGCCCAGTGAAGTTACGAAACGCTTATCACATTATCGACAGCAAAGCAAAAAGTACTATGACCGCACAGCTAAACCTCTTCCAAAGTTGCAAAAGGGAGATGTGGTGCGGGTCACAGACATCAAAGGGAAATACATGAAAAAAGGAACTGTAATAAACGAGACAAGTTATCCAAGGTCCTACATGGTAAATATAAATGGACGAAACTATCGAAGAAATCGTCGCCATCTTCTGAAAGTGAAAGAAGAACCAGATAGTGAGCATGAATACGACACAATCGTAGAACCGATCAATCAGCAAGAAACCATCGTAGAACAAACCAATTGGCAAGAAACAATCGTGAAACCAAGTCAAGTTACAGATCACCAAGATGACCACGAGAGACAACATGGTTTACCAAGATCTCGTTTTGGAAGAGTTATCAAACCACCTGATCGCTTGAACCTTTGAATCGAACTGAAACTTCATAACTCATAGTGATATATACCTCATGATCGAAACAAAAAAAGATGTAATATAGTTAATATATTCGTATTATTTAGTTAATATATTCATACGCCCAGTTTGACATTTGAGATGATTAATGACTCTGGAGCAGACAAATATATATCAAGTAGCAGTCGAACACGAACAGAGATTACCTTATATTTAATACGTAGAAACTAGTTAATAAAATACAAGATAAACAACAGGGGGGGGGGCTTTGAAAAAATACAGAGAGACGAAAGAAGGGGGGCTTTGAAAATATTTACCAGTTTGAAAAAACAGTAGTTTTAAAAATGTATCACAAAACAACTTAACAACAAATAACAATATTTATAGACTTTAATATTCATAAATGGAAGTCAAATAAAAAGTCTCTCATGTTCATGTAAATAGACAATTCCCATTATAGACTAATTTTAGAACTAGGCAAAGAGATGCAAATCAAGGCCGGATTTTGGTGAAAATAGTGGGGCAGGTGGACAAAAATTTTAGGAGAGGTGCAGCGGTCTAGCTCACAACTCCCATGGAAAGTTAGGGCTTATTGTAGAACAGGCCAATATCAACGAGGTGAGGTATGCATGTAGGGTACATAATATGTACCAGTGTATTAATGAATTATGAATGTATGACTCCAATCTTGCCCTTCATTACAATTGCTACACTGTTTCTTTCAAAACATTGCATTAAAAGAGTGCTTGACATGGCTATCACTGTTTCAATTTTACAGAGAAAACTTTCTTACGTCACAAAGTGTAGATCCTAAGCAACCATCACATTTTCACTTTGTTCCATCATTGAAACTTTCCCAAGGGGAAGTGCATGACCTTTCAAGAGAGGTGGAAAAATTCCCAGGGGAGGTGCAAAACGATCTCTGGGAAGGTGCACACCTCTCCACACTTCCCTCAAAATCCGGCCTTGATGCAAATAAATCACCACAGCTAGAAAGAGCATACTAAAATAAGTAAATTATTGCAAAGTTTGGTTGCGAATTGTTGCAAAATTCGGAAAATATAGCCTTGCAAAGTTTGCAAATTTTGTACACTTTTGTATTGCATGCGAAAATTGCAATTATACAAAAGAATACAAAATTTGCAAACTTTGGAAGGCTATATTTTCTACATATTTTACAACATTTTGCAACCAAACTTTGGAATTTTAGTAATTTTAGTATGCCCCTCCCGGGAATATACCTTTTTTGGCAAGATAAAAAATTAGTCTATAATGGGAATGTCTATTGGTCCCCATTACCTATTTTTCTTTCTCTAAAATAAACAGCTAGAGTTTTTGTTTCTCTAAATAAAGATAAAGAGCTAGAGGGGGCAAAGTGTATGTTCTTGTTTTGCCTGTTGGGGGGGGGGGCTTTGAAAATTTTACTTGTCTTAAGAGGGGGGCAACGAAAAAATATTACAACTGTAGAGTTTCTCCTCAGTCCCCCCCTGTACAATAAATAATGAGCGGTCCCTTAACCGTTATAATATTTTAAAATAACAAAATAATTCAAAAAATATTAACAATATATGTAAAAAATATATCTCACTTGTTAATAGAATCCATTTGTTGTGTTTCTGAGTTTAGTTGATGCGATTGCTTTACGTTTTCGTCGTACTTGAACGGTCGTCAGTACTGGCACTGAACGACATGGCCATACCACGGGCAATAGGACAGGTGTAGTGTTGTTAAATAGAAAGTTAGAAATGGTATTGTACTTACTCATGAATTATAATTATGTTTAAAAGATCAGAATATTCATAACTTCTTATTTTGTTTCATAAATAGTTCTTTAATATTCGAAACAAATTCCATATCTGCTTCGTCTGCCATCGCCATGTTTACTCGACCCAATCTACATGCTGCACGGCATTGCCGCCCCTCCAGGCAAAATAATAAGCAAGCGAGAAAAGTCACAGGGGGCCCCACTATGAGTTATGATTGAAATAATATTGTATTTATTTTTAAAAACCTATTTGAATCCCTTGATAATCGATTATTTCTTCTCTCGAAATTCTGTAAACATTTTAAACTGCTTGGAGTCATTATACTATCACTCTACATGACGTTTCATGAAGTATAGATGATCGCTGACAAGTAAGGACCGCGGGCGCGAAAAGACGAAGGCGGCGAAAGAAGGAAGAATTAAACTAAAGGGTTGAAACTTCGGCGGGTCATCGTTTGATGTGTTCCATAAAGTCACACTACACAACGATAACGATACGATAAATTGTAAACACGCGATAATTGTCAAAAAAAATGTATTAGTGTCCACACAACAACGAAAATGGTAAAATTATCGTTAGACGATAACGATAACGATTTTAAAATCGTTCACCTGAGCGATTTTTTTTTCAGTCGGACGATAACGATAATTTTTTGACCAATCAGCGCGCGTATACAAGTTATCGTATCGTTATCGTTGTGTAGTGTGACCTTGGCTTAAGTAGGTTGTTCTCCGGAAATTTCGCACGGGGCCCCAATGTTGAGTTAGGATTGAAAAAATATTGTATTTATTTTTAAAAACTTACTTGAATCCCTTGATCATCCATTATTTCTTCTCTCGAAGTTCTGTAAACCTTTTAAATGGCTTGGACTCATTATACTTGACGTCATGAGAACAACCTACTTATGGAACACATTGTGCGAAAAAACGCTTCGAGTGTTTCATGTAAAAACATACGAAAAATCAATCGTTTATCGAATCTACTACATCAGTTGTGAAGATATATCCAAAAAGACATAGAATCTGAAAAAAATATTCGAAAACACCGATAAATTGTGAATTTTAAGGCATTTAGAAATGTCATCTAGTCGAAGTTACAACCCTTTAAATTTAGTTTAATTCTTCCTTCTTTCGCCGCCTTCGTCTTTTCGCGCCCGCGTTCTTACTTGTCAGCGATCATCTATAGTTCATGTAGAGTGATAGTATAATGATTCAAGCAATCAAGCAGTTTAAAATGTTTACAGAATTTCGAGAGAAGAAATAATCGATTATCAAGGGATTCAAGTAGGTTTTTAAAACTAAATACAATATTATTTCAATCATAACTCATAGTGGGGCCCCTTGTGGAAAAGTTATTTTCTCGCTTGCTTATTATTTTGCCAGGAGGGGCGGCAATGCCGTGCAGCATGTAGATTGGGACGAGTAAACATGGCGATGGCAGACGAAGCAGATATGGAATTTGTTTCGAATATTAAAGAACTATTTATGAAACAAAATAAGAAGTTATGAATATTCTGATCTTTTAAACATAATTATAATGCATGAGTAAGTATAATACCATTTCTAACTTTCTATTTTTAAAACAACACTACACCTGTCCTATTGCCCATGGCCATACTAGGACATAAATAACTACAAGGCTAGCCACTTATCTGATATACTCTCCGACATCGAGTCCAATATCTCGCCTCAGAATCGTCGCAGAGCAATAAATTTCACATCGTCTAATAGCACGAACGTTCCTCTTTCGAAAGAACTTGATTTCTTCACCATTCCGGTAATTCCCGCGACACACGACGAACTTTGTTTGTCAAAAGTACAAATTTCCATTTTCGACAGACGCGCTAACCCCATGATCGTCGCCACGAGAGCTGCTCAGCAACCTGGCCTCCTCGTTTGAAAACATTCCATCAGGGGGGGGAGGAGCTGGACTGGAATGAGGGGGCTTTCAAAGCGACACGATAAAACACACGATATAAATAGAAATTATTACTTTATCATGCTGTATTCGACAATAAACAAGTATTAAACATTTATATCGTGTGTTTTATCGTGTTGCTTTGAAAGCCCCCTCATTCCAGTCCAGCTCCTCCCCCCTGATGGAATGTTTTCAAACGAGGAGGCCAGGTTGCTGTGCCGCTCTCGTGGCAACGATCATGGGGTTAGCGGTTCTGTCGAAAATGGAAATTTGTACTTTTGACAAACAAAGTTCGTCGTGTGTCGCGGGAATTGCCGCAATGGTGAAGAAACCAAGTTCTTTCGAAAGAGGAACGTTCGTGCTATTAGACGATGTGAAATTTATTGCTCTGCGACGATTCTGAGGCGAGATATTGGACTCGATGTCGGAGGGTGTATCAGATAACGGGCAGATAAGTGGCTAGCCTTGTAGTTATTTATGTCCTAGTATGGCCATGTCGTTCAGTGCCAGTACTGACGACCGTTCAAGTACGACGAAAACGTAAAGGCAAAGGCAGGATCTTGCCAAAACTGGGCAAACTTGGGTACCCTGGGGTTGGCTTGCAGTTGCACCATTTAAACAGCCCCTATAATAATATATTTCAATAACAACAAATACCAAACAGGCATATATGAAAACATTTACATATAAGTACCTAATGTACTGTAAACTAAACAATAAAGTACGTACCATATAGTTCATGGTTAGGAGTGCGACATGCGTACTAATATTGATTAACTCTAATATATAATATAATATAAAATCTAATAAACTATATTGGGTATTATAATATTAAAGCTAGAAATTCTACAAAAGACTATCGTACATTGCGAGAGTATCATGAAAGTATATTGAAATTATTTTCATGATAGACTTATCATGTACATTTAGTATATATAGAAATAAGTTTTTTGTATCAATTGAACGGAAGGATGAGTTGATTTTGCATATATCTGTTACAAAAGTATTTCGGAGTTTTACAAATTCGTTATTGGGGCATGACATTAAATAGTGAAATTCATCGCCGATTTCGTCTGATTGACATAACGTGCACTTTCGCTCATTGTAGGGGGTTTTGTTATATCGGCCAGATTCAACTGGTAATTTATGTGCGGATATTCTTAATTTCGTTATTGCCTGACGATGTTTGACATTACAAATTACGTGAAGGTATTCCTCGAATCTGAAATTATTCTTAACTTGTACGAGAGTTCTTAATTTACCATTAGAACGACTTTCTTGAAATTGACCTTTCCAGTAATTAATAAAGTAATCAACTAGTCTATTTTTTATATATTTACCTAAATTTCTCAAACTTTCAAGTTCTAAATAAATGTGGTCTAGCGATCTCAAATCACTTACTTTTAATATATAGTTTATAAAAGTAATGGCCTGAGAATTGGATCGAATATTAAAGCGTGCTGCTTTACCCACCAGAGTATTTATATAACTAGGGGGTTTAATACGTAACCAATATTTTGTAGCTAGAGTAGAGATCTGTACTATCAAAGGAACTCTACCTAGTTCCCCATAGATAGCCAGATTTGTGCTTTTAGAATGAACTCCAAGAATACGTTTAAAAAATTTCAGCTGTAATGACTCCAGTTTATTCACGATGCTAAACAATTTCTTTTGAAAAAGTTTATATGAGGAGATTCTTTTCAATAAGCACACTCCCCAGATTTCACAACCGTACAATAAGACTGGAATCACCACTGAAGAAAATAGTTTTAGTAGTGTCTTTATCGGTATATTCTCTACGTTTGAAAGTTTATCCATTAGACAATAGTAGGCTCTCAATGCCTTGTTGTATAGTGACGCTATAGCTATCTTAAAATTACCAGTGTAATGAAAAGTTAGTCCCAAGTATGTATACTCATCTGCACATTCTAACTGTACATGTTTGTCACCAAAGTACCATTTTGATGAAATAAACAGTCGTCTTTTCGATTGTGTTCCAAATATCAAGATTTTTGATTTTTTAAAATTTACTTGCAATTTCCATTTTTTCGTATATGTTTCAAGATTATGAAGGCAGCGTTGTAGCCCAGATTCCGAATCTGACATTATTACCAAGTCGTCAGCGTATAGTAGACAACTTAACTCAGTGTCATCGAGTTTTACAGGATCACAATGAGAATTAAACAGATTAGGTATATCATTAATGAAGATATTAAACAGTGTTGGACTCAGATTACATCCTTGTTTCACTCCAATATGAGATTGAAAGAACGGGGTTACGCCTTGTTCTAATTTAACCGCCGATTTAACAGAAGAATACATATTTAGCAAGATTGCAACAAATTTTTTGCTACATCCATATTTTATCAATTTGAAAAATAGGCCTTCTCGCCAAACACTATCATATGCTTTTCTGAAATCAATGAAACATGTAAAAATGGGTTTCCGACTTGATTTATAAGAGTCTATTAATGTTTTAAGAACAAGCAGATGATCAGATGTTCGAAATCCGTGTCCAAAACCAATCTGGTAATTATTCAAAATATTGTTTTCCTCTAGAAAATTGTTTAAACGCGTGTTTAGAATTAGAGTAAAACATTTCCCTAAACAGCTAGAAATACATATACCTCTGTAATTTCCAGGCTCAGTTTTACTTCCTGATTTATGTATAGGAGTTATAAATCCTTCCGACCATATTCTTGGAAAAACACCACTAGATAAAATTGTGTTAAAAAGTTGTGTCAACATTTTGAAAAGCAATAATATTTTATTAAAAAATTAGAATAATCACATATTAAACTCTGATAATAGTATATATATTGTATTGTGTGTGATTAAAGTAAGGTTATTTTTTTACCCCACCTCTGCATGCAAGGATTTTTTGGCCACCCCACCTAAAGCAACTATTATTTTTCAGTTACCCCACCATTTTCTCTTCGGCCCCCACCCCTGCCATAAATAATGACCGGTCCCTAATGCCTACTATGCTATTCATCCAGACATTTAATAATATGACATACAACGTATGATCTTGTTGTAGCCCCTGGAAGAAAATACTGACATCACATATGTTAATTATGTGAATACTAAAAATTATTCAAATTGAATTCAAATTGGTATTCTCTTCCTGTTCTAACTGGCAAGCTGCAGTAAATGAGACAATAATTCGTTTTACTTGTTTTTGTTTGGGCCCCTATACTTACATTATTTCATTGTTATATTTAGTCAGTTCGAATTATTATATTGAATAAGGATAAAAGTATATAACAAATATAAAATAAGACATAAATTTTGTTATATATATTCAAAGTGGAAGATACTATATATGTATATTTACAGTAAAGAAGGTGGTAATATATTTTAAACTATTATACATCAATTATTCGGCTAATCGACATAATCAAAATTTACAAATTTAACGACTAAATTAAGATTTAAGACTAGATAATTTTATTTTACCATTTTCAAAAGTTCAAATATAGTAAAATATTAAGCCAAAAGATTCCATTTTTGTAGTTTTACGCCTGATCCCAATTATAAAAGTTGTAGACATAGCATTGCAATCTAATTAAATGAATAATTAACAACTAATATAATTATAGACTTTGATGTGCTTTATTCCACTTGCACAAGCGGATTTCTCACACGGTTAAAAATGGATTTAAGATCAGCACATTGTACTATAACTTTACACAAGTTCCTCCAAAACGCTGGAAATGCCCTTTAGTGTTCCAAAAATAAAAACATTTCGGGTAGCATATTACCGGACCTTCCTAACTTGGAGTACTAGTCCGTCCCCCCCACACTTTTTGGTATGGATTGACCTGGTGAAGGTAGTAGACCACTCAGTATATTTAGAGATCAGTATTCAGAGGAACTAGCTTATCCAGGAATATTCTTAGGTCAAAAGCGGTCTGATGAGAAGCAAAGATTGACCCATGTTTATTACAGTGAAATATGTAAATCAGAACTTAACGAAGAGCTGCAATGTGTATTGAGAACATATTTTTTAGAACTAAAAAATGCAGATGAAATTATTGCTCGGGCAATCGCAGCTTGCTACTCGCAAGTGTAAAATGGGAAGCAGAACACTTACTGCTGGTGATTTGAAAACACCAGAAGGTTTAACAAATCTCATTTTCCATGATGAAGGATACAATTCAAATTTTTAAGAGCTTTGAGAGGTCCCCACCTTACTTTGGAAAAGCAAATGATTCGGCAGTTAGGACCTGCATCATTATTTTGTAGTTTTTCGTCTGCTGAAACAAAATGGAATCATTTACTAAGAATCGTTGGTAAGGTTGTTGATTACAAAGACTATAGTGATGAACAATTAGATAATTTAAACTGGGATGAAAAGTGTAGACTAATTCAAAGTGACCCAGTAACTTGTGCAAGGCATTTTGATTACCAATTTAATACTTTCTTGAAAGATATTTTAATGAGTGAAATTGCCCCATTAGGGAAACTGAAAGATTGGTTTTACAAGGTTGAATACCAACAGAGAGGCTCGCCTCACATCCATATACTCATATGGCTTGCAATGAAAATGCACCTGTATTTGGTGTTGATAAAGATGAAAATGTAGTGAATTTCATTGATCAAATAATAACTTGTAGAAAGCCTGATAATGACACTGAATTATTTGATCTTGTAAACAGACAAACTCATAGACATTCTCACACATGCCGAAAAAACTAAAAACAAGTTTGTAGATTTAATTATCCTCAGCCATCCATGAGATCAACACAGATACTTTATCTGATTGATGACAATGCTTCTGAAACTGTCATAAGAGCCAGAAAATATTAAGAATAAACTAAATGACTTAAAAGAGGGAGAAGACGTAACATTTGATCACCTTCTAAAAGAACTAGATGTTTTAGAATATCAATACATTCTTGCAATTCGATCATCACTAAATTGTCCAACAATATTTCAAAAAGAAGTCCCAATAAATTAAGGATTAATAATTATAATCCTGCTTGCCTCCAAGCATGGAGAGCTAACATGGACATTCAATTTGTACTGGATGTATATGCCTGTGTAATGTACATTGTTTCGTATATTTCTAAGGCTCAAAAAGGAATGAGTGACTTGTTACGTAACGCATGTGCTGAAGCTAAGGAAAGTAATTCCACCATCAAACAACAGGTTCGTGACATTGGCAACAAGTTTTTAAACTCTGTTGAAATAAGTACACAAGAAGCAGTGTACCTCATTCTGCAACTTCCCATGAGAAAATCTTCTCGAAATGTTGTATTCATTAACACATCTCCTCCAAGTGATCGTGTTGAACTGTTGAAACCTCTCAGTGAGATTGAGAAGATGTCAGACGAGTCTGAAGAAATTCACTCTGATGGACTTCTGAAACGATATGTAGAACGACCAGACAGTTTGAAATATATTACATTAGCTGACTGGGCAGCTTGGTACGACTCATCTGGGCTGAATAAGTATAATACTAGAAGTTACTATCGCAAGAAAAATGCTGCCTCACCCCCAAGGGATCAAAGGCAGCATGCACAATTCGCTGAATAAGGGGCTGTTTATATGATCCCGCTTTGCCAGGACGAGATATGAGGCCAGCTGATTTTGATCAGGGATGCCGGAAGTTGCTGAGGGCAAGGGGTGCAATTGGTTAACAAGAGGGCATACTCTTTAATAAAAGGCACCAATGAAAATGAAAGGGCGTCATGATCCTACAATCGTGTCAACCTCCCTCCCCGTCACCAATTGTTTTCGGACCGAATACAATTATTTAGGCACAATTCCTCCGTAATTTCTCGCCAAAAATTCCATAAGTTATGCTTTCCGTTTCACCTTTCGCCAAATGGATAGCAATTTTGCCGAATTCCTGACGACTGGGGGGTGGAACACCCCCACACACATCCTCGAACGACATTTAATTCTGTCTGTTGTAAAAGTTTTGAGCACCCGTTACACCCATAGTCTGCACCCGCACTGCACCCACAAAGTTGAAAATGCAAAAGGCAAGGGGTGCACTTGCACCCGCTGCACCCGTGGTTCCGGCATCCCTGATTTTGATGTACTTAAATACGTCACAGTGCATGATTCAGCAAAAAAACTACACTATTTTCTAGAGATGGACTATAGTTAACTGTAAACGAAAGGTTGCCTGTTCAAGCATAATATAATCTTCTTGAACCACAAGATCTTCTCTATAACATTTGAGTTCTGCTAACCAGCATTTGAACTTTCATTTAGCCTAGTGACTGATATTTCAATACATCAAAATCATTGTTCCTTCCATCATGCAAACAGCCCCTAAGACGCCTGTTCAGGAGGTAGGAAAAGGGCAATTTGAATATCAAACATCTTGCACAAAGTCGAAGGGTGGGCATGGGTGGCTAAAAGTATACTAAAACTGTCTGTACCAGTGTAGGTAGTACCAATGTGAAAATGCTGTGCTGAGTGGTTATATTACTACCTTAAAAAATAAGCAGAAACTCGACGTTTCGAGCGAAGGCACTTCGTCAAGAGTTAGTAGCCCAAAAGTAGTCTAATTCTACTTTCTTGGCATTTGCGGTTTTATATGATTATCTTCAATGCTTATAACTTCTTGCTTTTGTATAATTATAATACTGTCAGTGGTGAAGTTAGCCATAGCAACAGGTCACGCTATGCAAGTTTTTAATGATTTGCATTATTCAAAATTATAGATGCAGGTTTATCAGCATAGCATGGCCAGTAATTGCCATGGCTAGCTTGCCACTGAATATTGTACAATGTTTATATGAAAATGCTAAGTCAGGTTTTGTTCCAATTATTGTTTTAATGCCACCTTCAAGGCTGCCCATATTACAGAACAACCGAACAATATGCTAATGGGGAGACAAGATCTATTTGTTGACATTTCTAATTGTGAGCATTATCGAAAAATATAAATACACTCTGAAATGTAGTGACACAGCCAGATGAATATATGAATGTAGGCCGGTAGGATTATTTCATATTATGCTAACAATGGACATAATCTCAGAGGCCTCAAAGATATATATTGTATATATAAACAGGCAGTCATATCTTGTATAAATACAAAAGTCAGTTGTCATACTATTACATGTAATTGCTGGTAAGTGAATATTTAAAGTGCAGACAACAATCCACACTGGATTGCTCTAGGAATCTTATTACAGTAAGCCTGATTTAACAACATTCCGCGTTTGTTGTTAAACTATAAACATCTAGAAGTGAACACAATACTCATCGTCTTGGCACATATAATGATATAAACAAACAAATAAACTGAGTGCATTTTGACTCCTTGTATAAATATATTAAAGGCATTATTGACGAATAGATCAGGCGGGCTATTATTAAAACTGCCAGTACATTCATGAATTATAGTACTTCAGAACTCCTTATAAGTACATTTTGTCTCCTTGAATATGACATAAAATTATCAAATGTTCTACAAACGAGTGAAACGACCATGCGGACAATGCGAATGGGAATTATTTCGGGCTGTAAGAAGCGCCGTAAACTCATAAAAGCACATTGCTTGCCTCCAGAATGAACGCTAAACAGTTTATCGCCTTGATGGATATTTATAGCACAAAGAAATAAAGCCATACTTACCTGGTTTCTTCGGGAAATGTTCGTATATTTTGCAGATCCAGAATAAAGAGTTTGCATATATGATATTATGTGCACGCAATTTAATATTTTTCTCGCACTCCCCCCGTCCGTTCCCCCCCGGAATTACGACATCTTAACGGACAGACACAAATCGAAATCTCGACAATACATAGATCGGCGCGAAAGACTGGGTCGAGTGAACTCTGGAGAAACCTTCATGCCAAGATTAGGAGTGCTGCCTTCGGCAGCAAATACCATAGTTGCCTCGAAATCCTTTGCCTCGCGAGGTACGATTAATCACTAATTTACCTCATTGCTAAAACATGGAGTAAAATTAGAACTAATTTTACCACGGGCAAAATGCAAAAAACCCTGCATGCTTGATGAGGGAAATTTAGAAGACAAAAGCGTACCACCTCATTACCTCTGATTGGAGAGCTGTACCTCATCGAAAATCATCGGCACAACTATGGACAGTATCTGACGACACCGTCCCGTACACATTCGAACAATCACTTTGCCAGCTTTTATTCCCTAATCTTGAACATTACAATAGTGGGAGCAAATTCCGTTTATGCGCATAACTAAAACGCCAATGGACACGGAGATGTGTTTCTGCGCATATGAAAAGTGTTCGTACCACAATCATAAGACAATCAAACAGCATTCAAAACAGGCAACACACCACGCGCTGATTCCCTCGGCAACTATGGTATTACAACGTAATAGCATGGCATTACACAGGGGGCTGAGGAACTGACCTTGTTATTTAAAAAATAAATTTTTTGCAGCAAAAAAAGGCAAAAATATCATTAAATAACTACTATATTATATTGGTTGAAGTTAAATGAAGTAATATAACTTGCACGTGGACCTCACGCCAAATTACTGCGGGCGCGCACGCTTACGCTAGATTGTTTACAAGCTATATATAATGAAAGGGACGAAACTTCCAAATTTAGAATTCGGACATCATTTTCGAAACATCATAATTCGCTTAAAATTCTACAGAAACACACCAAAAAAAAAGAAAATAATATTTAACGAAAGAAATCTGGGAAAATAGTAGTTAAACCTACGAAAATAACGAATAAAATGCTGGTATATATTTCGCTATTTTCGTATGATGTGCACCGCAACAACTAGTGACGGAAGTGACGAAAGAGTTGAATTTTGAATTGCGCATAACAGGAAGTGGTTTTACGCGATTTTACGCAGGCAAAGCGCTTTCCTCGAACGTATATTTGACAGCTCAGCTGCGAACTTTGTTTTGGTTTTTGAATATAAATGGTGATAATAAAAGGTAAGACTGGTATTATAATATATTACAGGTGTTTTCATGTTCAAATTGGAGTACCATATGATTTTCCTGTGGTGTTGATGTTTAATATGTACTCAGCCTCAGGTGATGTTTCTGGGGGCCGGTTGTACGAAGCCCGTTTAGCTTAATAATATCCTATGCGGATAAGACCAAAGTATCGAAGAAGTTTATTCCAATTATTATCTGCACCCCCCTGTTGAGGAACCCCTTTGTATTCTTGAAGAATATTTTGAAGTGTCACAAATGACTGAGTACTGTCTGCGTCTGTTCGGTAATTTATTCGAAGTCTGCAAGTATATAGTATATTTCTTTCTTATTTAAAGTAGCGAAGGTATGAAATGTTATTATATATGAGAAACATACTATATTAAATTAATAGTATATATTTAGCTAGTATATATTTAGAAATACGTTTTTATACTGGTTTAAATTAATATTATAGTGTTCAGTTATTTTCAAACATCTTACCAATTTGAAACAATAACATGTTTTTCTCTGTTGTACAACTTCGGTTTTTTATTAAATTTATTGTTTATTTCTATATGGGACGCGTGTCGTTTAAGAAGAGATCTGTCCATTCTACAATATAAATATTTAAATTTCCCTCCACACCTGTTGTTTTTTAAAAAACAGAATATAATTAGCAACGGAATTTAAGTGGAATCACTTCCTGTACGTCACTTCCGTCACTAGTTGTTGCGGTGCACATGCAACGATGCAATATTGGATGTTTCTTCCCTTTCTCAATTTTCTTTCGTCCCTCCCTCGGGTGCACATCGTTTCCCGAAGCAAACTTCGTTTGTGATTCGGGCAATGCAAGCCTGCAGTATAGTGGGTTGCGGTTATACACGAGTTCCAAAACAAAACTTCGAATTTGAAAATATATAAACTTAATATACATGTGTGATGTTTTTATATCTTGAATTAAGTGGAATTAATTGATGGATGAATTCAATTAATTGCAAAAGATGATATTTAGATAACAAGGTAAGTCATTCGATTGTTTATTTAAAGTAAAACAAAACACGATCGTTCCTCTGCCCCCTGTGAGCATTACGGTCGATTAGTGATGAAATGTCCCTCAAGCCTCGAGAGGTTTAGTAAAAGTCCCTCGGCGCTACGCGCCTCGGGACTTTTATTAAACCTCTCTCGCCTTTCGGGTACATTTAATCACTAATCGCCCTGAATGCCATGCTATTACTTATAAGAAATCTGTTAAAAATCAGATATTGACAACCTTCCTTTGGAAGATGAAGATGAAAATAATGATGATGACCTAGGTGTTCAAAACACTGAAAGTTGTGTTTCCTCTAAAAAGTCTATCAAAAGAAGATCACAAGCAAGAATTATCCGCAGTGTTTGGTTTAACAAAGAATCTCAACCAGAAAAACATTATCGTGAGTTGATCATGCTTTTCACGCCATGGCGAAATGAACAGGTGGATTTAATGGGAGCTTACTCTTCCTTTGAAGAACATTACGAAGCTCGTGTGAAATCAATGAACAAATGCAACAATATGCGGTTTGTAGTGAAGATTTAAATGGAATTCAACATCATTTACAAGAATGTGATGATGATGCGTATGACACAATAGCACCAGTTACACAAGACACTGAACGTCGGGATGAGAACGAAGGTAATACAGATACACATCCAGATTTAAATGAAACATATGATGTCTCTGAAGACTTGGGTATCCCATCAAGGTTGCCTAATAATGAACCACTCATTTTAACTGAAATGGAAGATGATGAATACCGACGTTTGGTCCAAATGCTAAACAAGAAACAGAGGGAATTTTGTACCATGCTTTACATTTAATGAAGATATCTGATAATCCATTTTATGCCTTTTTAAGTGGAAGTGGAGGGGTTGGTAAATCTCAGTTGATTAAGTCAATTTATCAGGCTGCTTTAAAGCACTATAACAAACGAGCTGGCGAAGACTTTCGTCGCGTTCAAGTATTATTGCTTGCTCAAACAGGAAGAGCAGCTTATCTAATTAAAGGAAACACAATCTATAGTGCCTTATCAATTCCAGCGAGCCAATCGCTTAAAATTTATAAACCACTGGACTCTGGTAGGTTGAACACTTTACGGTGTGAGCTGGGTCCACTAAAGTTGATATTACTTGATGAAATATCAATGGTTGGAAACAGTATGTTTACAGTACAGTTAAATAACCGTTTAAAATATTTAAAAGGAAGCAAAGACGACTTTGGTGGTGTTAGCATTATCACAATCGGTGACTTATTTCAACTTAAACCTGTCATTGATGGCTACATTTTCAATGATCTCCAGTCTTTAAACTATTATAGTGTTCTTGCTCCAAATTTATGGAAAAAATATTTTAGAATGTTTGAACTTGATGACATCATGCAACAAAGAGAAAGTAAGATGTTTGCTGGAATCTTAAACAGGTTACGAGAAGGTAAACATACAACTGCTGATCTTCAAAAGTTGAAGGAAAGATGCGTTCAGGAATCGAATTGTCCTCAAGAAGCTCCACGCTTGTTTATTCAAAATGCTTTAGTAGACAAATATAATGAACAAGTATATGAATCATTTACTGATAATAGATATACAATTAAAGCTCAAGATAGTGTTATTGGGGCAGCTTCTACTGAACTTAAGGAAAAAATAATGAGGCAAATACCTTATGTTCCGTTAAGAAATTCTAAACAGTTAGCTCACAAGTTAAAACTTGCTGTTGGGCAATGTACGGAAGTTGCAACAAATGTATGAACTGATGATGGTCTTACAAATGGGGCGAGTAACATTATAAAGTTGATACAGCTCACTGATGTGAATAAACCTTCGGATCTTATCTGGGTCCAATTTTATTATGTTGGTAGAAAAACTCATCAAGAAAACAGAGCGCTTTATGTTAGAGGAATTCAAAACACATGGACACCAATTAAACCTGTCACAACCCAATTTCCAGTCGGTAGAACGAAATCTGCTCAAGTTGTTAGAAAACAGTTTCAATTGCGACCAGCATCAGCAAAAACTGTTCATAGATCACAAGGTGATACTCAAACACAGATTGTTGTAATCCTAAACACCAACAGGGCTTTTCCTCACATTCATGAGGATTATACATCACTGACCTATGTGAAGACAAATTAAATATCTGTTGATCAAAGAGTTGTCAAGGAAATGGAAATCTTAAGAACCGAACAAAGTTTGAATCTTTGTTTCAAACCACTTTATATGTTGGATCAATCTGATTTGAAAGTTTGTTACCTCAATGCAAGATCTCTGCATAAACACAGTAAAGATGTTCGAAAATAAATTAATTACTCGTCTATGGATATTGTGATATTTACTGAAACAAGGTTTAACTCCTCTGACACTGACGATATATACAACATTGATGACTACAGGTTGTTCAGAAAAGACGTTTCCCATGGTACGGGTCCAGGACGTCCATACGGTGGAATAGCTGTTTATAGCCGAGTCCCTTTAAAAGAAGGATACACTTATGCTCACAACGTCAATGGAATCGAGTTTACAATTATTAAAACAGAAAGTAATCCGCATCTAAGTATAATTGGAGTATATCGTTCACCCAATATTGCTATATCACGTCTAATGTCTTCACTACGTAGCGTACTTGATGAAGATTCTTCTGCACAAAACATTATAATTGGAGATTTCAATGTCAACTAGATGGTAGAATCTGATCGACAGTCACTCTACAATTTGATGGTTGTACAAAATCATTACAGACAACTGATAACAGGCTTTACAACCGACAACAGAACGTTAATTGATCATTTATACACAAATTTAATGGAAGAGGAAATTGAAGCTGGTGTTCTAGAAACTTACTTTAGTGATCATAAAGCAATATGGGCTTCTCTTAGGACATAGAAATAATAATTATACACTGTTCAATTAAGGTATCGCAAAGATAGCAAGCCATTGTGCCACTGCGAATGTTATTAAGGCAAGCCCTTGCGCCACTCCCAGTGTTATTAAGATAAGCCAATGTCCACTGCCAATGTTATCAAGACAAACCTCTGTGCCACTGCCAATGTTATAAAAATAAGTACTTGTGTGGACGATGGCTACATTTAGGTAAGTTTTCTTTCTCTTTTTTCCCCTCTCCCTTCCCTGTGTTTATCTGTTTAATTGGGTTTTTTTCTTTTTTAGATATCTCTATACATTAACATGGTCACATTAACAATAAATTCAGTTAACAAAAGTACTAAAAATAGAACAATTTTGGTATGTTGCTACGTCTTTATATTACCATCTGGTCATGTCACGAACAAAGCTTGGACTGTATGGCTTATGAAATTCATGTTACATTATACATAATTGCATCCACTAATAGTGCTGCATTAATATTTACAGATATCAGATGTATACAATAATATGCCTTTCATTTGCTTGCGCCTGACAATATTGGTGGATAATTATATTGAATGATGTATCATCTTATGTCAATGAATATTCGAAAATGAAACAATTCAATTCAGCTACCAAAGTTAAAACGTCTACAGTTACATCGTTATGTGGAAAGATGCACAGTACTTGAAGATACGACTTGGATATTTGTTGTACCAAAACATGTTAAAGGGAAAGGCTACTCAACGAAGTCACACGTACAGTACATAGAAAAGTTAACGCGTCAAGGAAGACTTGATAATTAAGAAAGATGCACAGTATTTGAAGAACTACTTTGTTGTACGGTACATTGCACCTGTTCGAACACTCATAATCGAGCCAACAACGTGCGTGAGTACCTGTTATACCAACAATGGACTTGATATGCATCATAGTCAACATCTTCAAACTTACACTGGGTAGAACATGTACTGTAATACGCAATAACACGTGTTCTATTGTCATAGAAAAGTGACTCGTCTTTTAGTTTTCACTAGCTGAATATTCGTTATTTATAATTCACGTTGTCATTGACCATTTTTGGCAAGCTTTGTAAATTGTGGAATGGGTTGTATTTAAATCACTGACTTATATTATTTTATATATTGAAAATTGACTGTAACCCATACTGTAATGCCAATTTTGTATATACAGTAGCCATCGTGCAAAACGATGATTTAAGATTTAAAAAACAGAAATTTTCATTTTTCTTTTCATCGCAATTTTTTATTTCAAATAAAATATTTAGAGGCGCAACTTCGGTCGCAACAGGGGGATGAAGATACAGTTTGCTCGAAAAAAAACGTAGAGATGCTGTGAAAAATTAAAATATTGTCAGGGTCCGCTAGTGTAGCGTCGAAGGCCCATTCCTCGTCCTCAGGCCTATGCTACGTAGCTTTTCGCACTGGACTTGGTCCCGCGTGGGCCTAGGAATAGTGCTGCATAAGCACAACTACTGAGTGCCAAAGGCGCGAAATGCCTAGGGGCATGGGGGCTTCCTCTGAACCGCCATTTGATCAGTGGCGTAGCCAGAACGATAATTGGGGAGGGGCATATTCATATATTCGTGTTCACATACCATAAAAACAATTGATTTCAAAAGAAATTAATAAAGTAGAACACGAATATATGAATATGCCCCCCCCCCCCTCAATAATCGTTCTGGCTACGCCACTGCATTTGATGCACTTTTGGCGAAGATTTTACAGGACTCTACATTGTTCACAGAACGACGTATATTACATTGGCAATTTTGCAAGTTCCTATGTTCCTAATACTGAACATGATTTAAATGTATTTTTCCCCGACAAATTATTAAGTATTTGGTATATTTCTCCTACAAAATTGCCTTTAAACAACAGGGTGTGTCACCCCCTTCCTGCCCCCAGAAAAAACCCCACAGGATTTACTAGGTACTAGCCTGAAAATAATGGCTTTGGCTCCAATCGTCAACATATATTTCAAACAGTTTATTTCAAGAAATTGCGTCAAGGACCACGGTGTAAAATCCTCAAGAAAGATTTTATGCTTTCGGTTGTTCTTGACCACTTACTTCATTAATTCCCGAACATACCTTTTTGCATAAATTCTCAATGTAAATATCAAATATCAATCTATTGTCAAGGTCAACCCCTAGACACATTTGGGAAGGAACCGATTCAATGATACTATTATTCATAATAATAATAATACTATTAGTTACTTCATTGCTTGTAGCACTCAATTATGTTCGGATCCTATCAGCATGAACTTTTGCTTTTTTGCATGTGACTGGAATTTATTTACGATTAACCAGTCCATTATATCAACTAAGTCAGGATTTAATTTATCGATATGATCTTCAGTATCGTGAGAAGACAGTGGGGTAGCCAGAACGATAATTGGAGGGGGCCATATTCATATATTCGTGTTTACATACCATAAAAACAATTGATTTCAAAAGAAATTAATAAAGCAGAACACGAATATATGAATATGCCCCCCCCCCCAAATTATCGTTCTGGCTACGCAACTGGAGAAGAAACGAATACTTTTGTATCATCTGCATATAAACATGGAACTGTGGATTCAAGACAATTTGGTAGATCATTGATATAAATTAAAAACAACAAGGGACCTAGAATTGACCCTTGAGGAAT